TCCTCCTGACATCCCCCACTTGTCACGGTTAACGTGTGTGTGTGTGTGTGTGTGTGTGTGTGTGTGTGTGTGTGTGTGTGTGTGTGTGTGTGTGTGTGTGTGTGTGTGTGTGCGTGTTACCATTTTGTCAAAGGGACTTGTCGATTAGACACTTGGCCTTGCTTGACATTGCTTTATCTATGTATTATTTAGCACTAGTTTTTATACTGAACAGCTAATTAATATAATGAATAAGTACTAAGGGAGAAGGTATTATAATTGAAATGAAAGTTATTTAATAAATTCACAAATTATATACCATTTCGCATCTTCCTCATCTCGGTTCTTTATTGTAAACTTATTAATTAATATAGAGATATATTAAGATACGTGATAGGTCAAGGTGTCTTATTAATGAAAATAATATACCAAACGTTTTAAGCAAATATTCTAAAATTTCTTGCATCAGGTAAAGCATAAATTGCAGATGCAATCCTGTTAAAACAAAGACCAACCCATAAGGTTTCTTTCAAGTCTACAAGAATAAATTTAGACTCTCTTACTATTAGCGACAAAGAAATGTCTACCATTTTTAACACGTATTCCTTCTGTGTTTTTACGCAAGAGGATACCAATGAACTTCCAGGAATTAATAAATATCTAGTCAGGACGAAAATAACTATGTATTATCAAAGTCACTAGGGACATGGTCCTCAGACAACTAGATAGATTGAAGCCAAACAAGTCACTGGAACCTGATGAGCTGCTTTGAAGGTTAGAAAGAAGTGTATTGAAGAACTTGACAAAACAAGAGCTAGTCTTGTCAGCATATCGCTACAAGCAGGTATCATAGTGAATAAGTGGAAAATGGCAGATGTGATAGCCATTTGCAAAGCGGGAGTTAGGTCCTTAGCTTCAAATTATAGACCAGTCAGCCTGACCGTAGTTGTAGCAGAGTTGATGGAATCAATAATTGTGGATGAAATTCAAAGCCATCTTGAAAGATACAATTTGATCAAGTAATCTAAGCGCGGTTTTACAAAGGAGCGTTCTGCCTTACGACTTACCAGCCTTTTTTCATTAAGGTATTGGAGGCAGTAATACGATATTGTATGTATGGAGTTCAGTAAGTACCTTGATAGACTTCCACACAGGAGACTGTTGAAGAACGTAGTGGCCCGTGATATAGAAGAAGTGATCTTGGTCGAGTTAGAGATCACCGACAGCATAAGTGGGGAGAAATCAGAATTGGGGAATCGTTAGAAATGGTGTGCCACAGGGGTCATTATTGGACCCATTGTTGTTCACAATCAATATTAACGACATAGATAAGGAAATAGTGACATAATTTAATTGATACTAAAATAGGTCGTCATAATTCTGATAAGGACCTAGAAGGCTACAGTATGATCCGGTTAGGTTGATGTAGTCGAAGAAGCGGCAGATACAATGTTGGCAGATGTAAGGTTCAGATCCAAGGAAAAGAAAATAATTATGGCACTTGTAAGTTAAACAACGTAGATCTTGGTCAGAGGGGATGCGAAAAGGATATAGGAGTCATGGTTAGCAGAAGTTTAAAACCGAGACAGCAGTGGATAAGTTTACACTGAAGTTAATAAAATTCTTGGCTTCATATCACGAAGTATAAATAAAAGAAATCCTGAGGTAAGGTTTCATTTAGATTATTGCTATTCAGTTCTGGTGTCCATATTACAGAATGGACATAAATGCGCTGGGAAACATTCAGAGATGATGATAATTGATCCTATGTATCCGAAACCTTTCCTAAGAAGATGTAAACACTGAATTCGCACTCTTTGGAAAGACGTAGAATTAAGGGAAATATGGTTGACATGTACAAATAGAAAACAGGAATAAATAAAGGGGATATAAATAACGTGCCAAAAGTATCTAATCAAGACAGAACTCGCAACAGTGGATTCAAGTTGGACAAGTCTAGATTTACAAAGAGTATAGGAAAGTTTTGGTTTAGCAATAGAGTTGTAGATGTATAGAGCCAACTCACAGGTATCGTCACTAAAGCGAGAAGTATGGGTAGTTTTGAAAATAGGTTGGGTAGGTACACGAGTGGGTATGGATGGGTGTGAGTTGAACCACCTTACCCTGGGCCAATGGACATACTACAGTGTTCCTTCATTCTTATGTCCTTAAGGTGCGAAGCACTCTATATATTGAGACAACGTTTCGCTCTGTGTAGAGCTTTCATCGAATCATGACTCTTAGCTCTATACAAAGTGAATCGTTGTGTCAGTAAAAGCCAGTTCTGCAATCCGTCCTTTCTTCACGGTTATCTGCAGTACGTTGTTTAGATCATCCTGTATACGTTTTGGGTAATTTTGTTAGGTTATGTGAGTTTGTTTTTATAAGTGTGATAGTTACTAGGCAGGTTCGGCGATACTTACCTCGGTCACCTCAACATGATTGTTATAAATAAATCTATCGTCATTACACTCATTATTATTATTATTACAGTAGCCTATTGACTTTACCATCACCACCAATCAAAACCACCGTTAACAACCATCATCACATGAAGTCGCCACCACCAACAGCTACTCACCACCTCCGCTACCACCCATCTCATCTACCCATAACCATTCACCACCATCACCAACTACAATAACTAACACGTTCATAACCATACCATGATAAGAGCGCACCAGAAACTGACCTTATTCTGTTCACTGGCGCCATTGCAAGTCGTGTGTATGACTTAATCGTCACCAGGACCATCTTAGTCACATCCTGTTGCCCGCCTCTCCTCCTCACTGCATTATTACTTTAACCTACTTTATAAGTTTTAATTAATGCAAGACCTAGAAACTAGATGAATTTATTGTTACTAGGTGTATGTGCGTATATTTGTGTATATGTATAAATGTGTGTGTACTCACCTATTTGTACTCACCTATTTGTGGTTGCAGGGGTCGAGTCACAGCTCCTGGCCCCGCCTCTTCGCTGATTGCTACTAGGTCCTCTCTCTCCCTGCCCCATGAGCTCTATCATACCTCGCCTTAAAACTATGTATGGTTCCCGCCTCCACTACGTCACTTTCTAGGCTATTCCACGGCCTGACTACTCTATGACTGAAGAAATACTTCCTAACATCCCTTTGATTCATCTGAGTCTTCAACTTCCAATTGTGACCTCTTGTGTCTGAATCCTTTCTCTGGAACATCCCGTCTTTGTCCACCTTGTCTATTCTGCGCAGTATTTTATATGTCGTTATCATGTCTCTCCCCCTGACCCATCCAGTCCTCCAGTGTCGTCAGGCGATTTCCCTAACCTTTCTTCGTAGGACAATCCCCCGTAGTCTTGGGACTAGTCTTGTTGCAAACCTGTGCACTTCTCGTAAGGTTCTTGACGTGAATGGATTAGGTGTGGATCCAAATCTGGTGCTGGGTCATACTTCCAGTTTAGGGCCTTCGACGTTATAAATGGTTACAGAGGTACTCTTAAGGGAAGATTTCTCATGAGCGAATCCTGAACGCTATCCGTCCAGGCTTTTTCCAGGCCCCCCTGATATATAATGCAGCAGTTATCTGATTGATGTGCGCCTCAGGAGATATGCTCGGTGTTATGCTCACCCCCAGATCTTTTTCCTTGAGTGAGGTTTGCAGTCTTTGGCCATCTAAACTATATTGTGTCTGCGGTCTTCTTTGCCCTTCCCCAATCTTCATGACTTTGCATTTGGCAGGGTTAAATTCAAGGAGCCAGTTGCTGGACCAGGCTTGTAGCCTGTCCAGGTTTCTTTGTAGTCCTGCCTGATCCTCATTCGATTTGATTCTTCTCATTAACTTCGCATCATCTGCAAACAAGGACACTTCTGAGTCTACTTCGACTCAGTGAATAAGTGGTCACTACGTAGTGACCACTTATTCATTTTTAATATCCCCGCTTTTTCGAAACACACACACACACACACACACACACACACACACTCAGGCCTAGTGTCTAATCGACATGTGCCTAGGACAAAATGGTAACTAACACACACACACACACACACACACACACATTTATACGTGATATCATAAAATCAGTCACAATCTTCCTCTTCTGATATTTTATTAGAGGAGAAAAAAGACAGCTTGTAGAACAAGCTTGTTACTGGAAAAGCGTTTCGCACTTTATAGAGCTTTATCAACTTATGACTTGATAAAGCTCTATAGTTGAACAGAGAGAATAACTGTCCCAGTGAAAGCTTGTACTGCAACCTGTCTTTAATTCACGTTATGATGTTGCTTGTAAAGAAACTTGTCAGCAAGCAACTCAGTACCTTGCGGGATAAGACACATGTGCAACACCTGGGTGTCTTGAAAGATGGACCCAAGTGTTACACATTAACTTGTCGGTGCTGTATACCATCAGTTACAAGATACCGCAATATCTTGCTGGCCGAACTGTTAATACAGAAGAAAAATCAGACCTACTAGAAGTATTTAAATGTTAAGTAAAACGTGTTCTCATGCTGTAGTTAGTGTAATGATGATAATTGACACTAAAGACTGCCCGATGATTATTATTCTGAAGGGTAGAGAAGCAGCCTGTGTACCATCCAGGCCATGCAGTCTGCATGCCAACCTAGCCTTGTAGCCTGCATACCAACCAAGCCTTTCAGCCTGCATATAACCAGCTTTCAGCCTGCATACCAACCAAGCCTTTCAGCCTGCATACCAACCAAGCCTTTCAGCCTGCATACCAACCAAGCCTTTCAGCCTGCATACCAACCAAGCCTTTCAGCCTGCATACCAACCAAGCCTTGCAGCCGGCATACCCTTGCACTGTGTTACGTGGCCCCTTCAGCGCAGTGTTGCCTCCTAGGCTTCCCCAAGAGTGGTTCTCTGTTAAATACTTTCACATTAGTGTAACATTATTGTGAATATGTGTGTTCAGTTTATACATAATGTGTATGCACTGCTGCTCTTGTTTTGTAATGACAATGTTTTGTGTGCACTGAGGACTTTGTAACCACTATCTCTCTCCTTGTCTTTCCACAGTACCTCCGAGGAGCCGAGAGGGGCGACACTCTCCTCCAACACCTCCATCTGCTCCTCCAACTCCACTTCCACTTCCTCCACTGTCGTTGCTGCTAACGGTCACATCTCCTCCTCCAGACGCAGAACAGGTGAGTTCTCGGCTCAGGTGTTGCGTCATCTCCTCCAGACGCAGAACAGGTGAGTTTCAGCTCAGGTGTTGCGTCATCTCCTCCAGACACATGCATATGCACATTTGTCAAGGTTTTATTTATGCATTTTTATATGTAGTACCGGCCTGTTTTCACGACTTTTTGCTTTTTTTTTGTTAGAATTAAATAACTGATGGTGACACACGCAGTTCACATAAAAGAGTGTTCATACCACTGTTCTCATACCTTACCCTTTTTTGCCTTCATAGATACACTTATTTTTTTTTTCTAAACACTCAACACACTACTTACGTTTTTATCCCGGTCAATTCTGTTTCATAGATCCATCTGTTGACAAGTCGACTCCCAAATATCTAAGTACATTCACTTCCTCTACACTCCCTCCAGTCTGCTATTCGTTACTTCACTAAAATCTCTCCCCCCCCCCGTCTCTCTCTCTCTCTCTCTCTCTCTCTCTCTCTCTCTCTCTCACACACAGGAGAGGTTAAGGGAAATTGACCTGACAACACTGGATAATAGGGGGGGGGGGAACATGATAACGACATAAAATACTGAGAGGAGTTGACAAGGTTAGGGACAGGATGTTCCAGAGATGGGACACAGCAACAAGGGGTCACAATTGGAAGTTGAAGACAGATGAGTCACAAGGATGTTATGAAGAAATACTTCAGTCATAGAGTTGTCAGGAAGTGGAATAGTCTGAAGAGTGGTGTAGTGGAGGCAGGATCCATACATAGGTTTAAGATGAGGTAAGATAAAGCTCATGGAGAAGGGTGTGTGTGAACCTGGTAGCGACCAGTGAAGAGCCGGGGCCAGGAGCTATGAATCGACCCCTGCAAACCACAATTAGGTGAGTACACACACACACATAAACACACACACATTTATATATATATATTTTATATATATATATATATATATATATATATATATATATATATATATATATATATATGCAAACAACCACGGGGGGAGTAGAATAATAACTCTAGGCCTTTCATGTCGCAATCAACACATCAGGAGTTTGCCGAAAAGAGGAGGATGTCCAAGCAAGTACGATCCCGAAGGACGTGTTTGTGGAATCTGCCGTGATGGCAGCTAAGAAAACTTATTGTAGAACAGAACCTAGGGTAACACAGACCAATAATGTGCTGGTCCTCCCATACAACAAGAATTTATCTATCCTGCCGAATGCTCTTACAAGATTTAATACAAAAGTAGTATTTAAAAATTCACGGACTGTTAGAAGCTCCCTCTCCTTCCCTTACTCACTCCAGTGAACACGTCCTTTGGGAACGTACTTGCTTGGACATCCTCTTTTCAGCAATTTTGCAAGCTCCCGATGATGTGTTGATTGCAACGCGAAAGTCCTATAGCTATCTTTCTACTCCCCCGTAGTTGTATCGCTTGGTTTGCGATATTTGCATTATATAATATATATATATATATATATATATATATATATATATATATATATATATATATATATAAAATATATATATATTATATATATATATAATTTCTAACTTAATCTAGCTTAGCCTAACTTAAAAAACAAAGTATGCCTTCGTTTACAAGGCACAGATGGTTTGTGTGTGTGTGTGTGTGTGGGTGTATGTGTGTGGTGACATCCGCGTAGTGCTGTGTTCCGTGGATATCACTCAAACACCTCTTTAACAGTGTTTTAATTCAGAGCACTGAGTCAAGTGCGTAACTAATCCCCCTCCTTGTTTTTCTTCTCTCTCTTTCTCTTTCTCTCTCTCTTACATACACACACACACCACATACACAGACTTCTCACAACAGGCGAAGTGCCTATCGACAAGTACCTTTGACAGCTGGTAACGCGCACACACCCACGCACGCACGCACACACGCACACACGCGCACACACACACGCACACGCACACACGCACACACACACACACACACACACACACACACACACACACACACACACACACACACACACACACACACACACACACACACACACACACAAAGCAAGTTGATTAACAAGACACTCAGGTGTCCACAGTTGTGCAATGGTCGGGTCAAGTGGCTTTATTGAAGCTCTCCTCCTTAATTGTCTCTCAAGTGTTGGCTTAACTGACTGATTGACTGGTTAAGTGTGCAAGTGACCAGCCGATTGTTTGACTTGTTTTCTTGATGTCTCACCACCGACTGCAAGCGACTGGCTTAGTAGAAATGCACCTGATCAGTAGAAATACACCTTGTAAAGTAAAAGGACACAAGTGCAACTAATGTGAAATTTTATTGTGGCAACGTTTCGCTCTCCAGAAGCTTTGTCAAAGCTCCTGGAGAGCTAAACATTGCTACAATAAAATGTCACATTACTTGCACATGGGTCCTTTTACTTTACATATTGTCGATAATTCTACCAACATTATTACAGAAATACACCTGGTCAGTAACTTGCAACATCTGGGTATCTTTATTTTAGACGTTTCACCATCCAGTGGCTTTATCAATACAAATTCCAGGACATAACTTGAAGATAGTAAAACTATGTACAGAAGATGAGGTAATCAGTCCCTCAACCTAGGAGGTGCGAAGAGCACCGTAGTCGTGGAGATTCTGAAGCAGAAGCAAGGCGCCTGACGCTTATATACTAACGTCAGGTGGAAATGGGACGGGTAGCAGACGAGGGCATAGTCACTGGTAGGCGGGATTCCCCAGTGGAAGTAGGTCCTACCCAAAGAGATGGGTTAGTTGTAGTAGTAGTTGTTGTAGTCGTTAAGGTTATGTATATGTCCTCAGAATCAAGATTCCATGATGTTGCAGTGTCTGACAAGTTGTACAAGAATGGTATACAATACCGACAAGATGAAATTAAGACACATGTGCAACATCTGGGTATCTTTATTGTAGACGTTTCGCCATCCAGTGGCTTTATCAATACAAATTCCAGGACATAACTTGAAGATAGTAGAACTATGTACAGAAGATGAGGTAATCAATCCCTACCAGTGACTATGCCCTCGTCTGCTACCCGTCCCATTTCCACCTGACGTTAGTATATAAGCGTCAGGCGCCTTGCTTCTGCTTCAGAATCTCCACGACTACGGTGCTCTTCGCACCTCCTAGGTTGAGGGACTGATTACCTCATCTTCTGTACATAGTTCTACTATCTTCAAGTTATGTCCTGGAATTTGTGTTGATAAAGCCACTGGATGGCGAAACGTCAACAATAAAGATACCCATATGTTGCACATGTGTCTTAATTTCATCTTGTCGGTATTGTATACCATTCTTGTAGAAATACACTTGGAAATCGTTTCGCTATGTAAAGAACGTTATCAAGTCATCACTTGATTAAGTTCTGTACCATACTTGTCGGTAATACCTGGTATGGGTGATAGAAACATTTGTAGCAGAGGATCATTTCAGTACGACGTTTCGTCTAAAGTTAAGCTTTATTAAGTACGTACTTGGGCGAAACACATGAAAAGGATTCTCTGCTACCACTGTCGTTATTCCTAGTGGCTTTTAAACCATTGTCTGCTTAATACTTGCTACCCTATTCGGTGACTGGCTGGTGGGTGACTGGGTGAGTAAATGGACAAGTTTATTTGTTTACCCATATATGTATATGTGTGTGTCGCTAGTTGAGTGGATGACTGCTGTAATGGCTAGCTGATTGGTGTTCATCTGGGTAACTGGCAGATTTTAACATGCGACTGTCTTAATAATATCAGTAATAGCTGGTTTGATGGGAGAAATTGTAGAGTGAGTGACTGTTGGTGTGATTGTTTGGCTCACTGGGGTATTTACACAGATTTAACTGTCTTCATCTCAGTAGAAAAACAACCACCACTAGCACTACTGCTGCTATATCTACTTTAACTATTACTGCTTTTACTACTGCTGCTGCTGCCGCTTCTTCTATACACAACAGCGGCATAAAGCACCATCATTTCCTTTGGAGAATTTTAGATGGTTATTTCACAGTCCTGATAAGCCTTTAAACACTAAACTTACCGTTGCGATAAGCTTGTCACTCGCCTTTGAATGTCCGGTGACTTCTAATCCCGTGGCTGTAGGAAGATCTGGCTTATTTTTTTCTCAACTGATATAGTTCAGAATTTCAGTTTATCTCACGTTCACTGGTTGAACGTAAGCTCACCTCTTTTTTGGGGCTCTTCGCTCACATGTCACGACTCCCATAGGCGCTTGTCCGATGATCTCTTATTTCGACCTAAAAGAAATGCTGCAGCTTCCTACCTGCCGTATACAAGGTAGCCAGACTTGCATTTTTTCTCTTACGTAGCGTCTGAGCGGTGTGTACTTGAGTAGGTATGAGAACCTAGAATGATGTCTTCTTTGAATACATAGATTATGGCCCATGACGCTGTAGCACTCTTGACTGTGTGTGTGCACAGTAACAGTGCACTCTTCGTCGTCTTGTTCATCGTGGATTACTGTATGGCGCCGGAGTTTCACTGTTTAATCACATACCTTCAGTACTCGCTGCATTGAGTTCGACTCCTCATTCACATACTGTATCGGTATTCAAACAGCACTGGTATTTCTTCATTCACTTATACTAACTGGCTTTATCTGATCATTACGAACGGATGTTGGTCGCCGGTACGAATTTCCGCCCCAAAGGGCGTATCCCGCCGCCGCAAAATATGGTGGATTGCTCTGTAGGTGTACACAGTCTGAATACCTTTCATGAGTTGATGTCCCAGGTCGCTATGAAGGTCATGATGGCTGACTTCACTACAGTTTGCAAGGATACGAATAAGTGCCACGGCTCATGTGACTAATGACTAATCTTGCAAGAATAGGGTCTTCCTTAATCTAACATCACTATCAGCGTAGAGTTAAAATTAAGGACCTGTAAGTTGCAATGTGTAATAACTGAGCCCTGCGGCGAGGCTGGGAGTCGAGGCTTCAAGATGTGTAGGGCAGCAATGTTACTCTCAGACAACCCTGACATATTAAGGAGAATTCCGCCACTCCACCTTTATCACACACAACAGCGTCATAATGAACCACCACCAATAACATTTACATTGC